GGAACTACAGACCAGTCAGCCTTACCTCAGTCCCCGGAAAAATCATGGAGGGGAACCTCAAGGAATCCATTTTGAAGCACTTGGAAGAGGGGAAGTGATCAGGAACAGTCAACATGGATTCACGGAGGGCAAGTCACGCCTGACCAATCTGATTAGCTTCTACGATGAGGTAACTGGCTCTGTGGATATGGGAAAGTCAGTGGATGTAATATACCTTGACTTTAGCAAAGTTTTTGATATGGTCTCCCACAATATTCTTGCCAGCAAGTTAAGGGAATATGGATTGGATAAATGGACTGTAAGATGGATAGAAAGCTGGCTAGACTGTCCAGCCCAACAATGACCTGGATGAGGGGATGGATTGCACCCTCAGCAAGTTCACAGATGACACTAAGCTAGGGGGAGAGGTAGATATGCTGGTGGGCAGGGATAGGTCCAGTGTGACCTGCATAGATTACAGCATTGGGCCAAAAGAAATCTGATGAGGTTCAACAAGGACATGGAAGAATCCTAAGCATTGTTACAGGCTGAATGGCTAAGTAGCAGTTCTGCAGAAAAGGACCTGAGGATTACAGTGGATGAGAAGCTGGATATGAGTCAACAGTGTTCCCTTGTAGCCAAGAAGGCTAATGGAATATTAGGGTACATTAGGAGGAGCACTGCCAGCAGATCTAGAGAAGTGATTATTCCCGTTCATTCAGCTCTGGTGAGGCCACATCTGGAATATTGTGTCCAGTTCTGGGCCCCCCACTACAAAAAGGATGTGGACGCATTGGAGGGGATCCAGCGGAGGGCAACCAAAATGATAAGGTGGCTGGAGCATATGACTAGTTAGGAGAGGCTAAGGGAGTTGGGTCTGTTTAGTCTGCAGAAGCGAAGAGTGAGGGGGACTTTTGATAGCAGCCTTCAACTTCCTGAAGGGAGGTTCCAAAGAGGCTGGAGAAAGGCCGTTCTCAGTAGTGACAGATGGCAGAACAAGGAGCAATGGTCTCAAGTTGTGGTGGGAGAGGTCCAGGTTGGATATTAGGAAAAACTATTTCACTAGGAGGGTAGTGAAGCACTGGAATGGGTTACCTAGGTGATGACCTTCTGAGGTCTCTTCCAGCTCTATGATTCTTGCCCACTCCTTAATTTTAGTATTCTGCGGAATGTTTTGCTAAATAAGATGGAGACAGAGAACACAGGAAGTGCTCAGCCCTTTTTGGAGTGGAGGTAAAGATTTCTCAAAACAAGTCACAAACCTCACCACTCAACTCTCCATCTCCGAAGAGTCTCATCAATTAAATGGCATGGCGGGAGGCCCTTCCAGCCACAGAGGGACCACAGAAGGCTGATGTTCTGCAATATTGTTGTAGATCTGCTATACTCAAGGTCACGAAGTACAAAGCTGCAGTAAGCGATTCCAGAACCACTGCCCAACAGGGAGGTTGTAGACACACCTTGGAGTTCCAGGGGCATTGCCACTGCAACTGCAAGCTGCTTAAATCTGCTTATAAGCCTCATTTGGGAGGGCTCACAACCTGTAGTCTATGGTAGTAGCTTCTACTGGTCATCTTCTTATAGTGGCATCCATCCATGTAATAGCAAACAAACCCCAATTACTCAGGCACCCCACAGCATGCCTACCAGCTTGGGGTGGTAGAGGATGATTCCCTCCCACACCTCCTGCACTGGGGCCTGTGCAAAATCCATTTACACAGAGGACAAGGATTCCCCAGTTATGCATATCTGATGTTACTGGTAACAGCTGGCTACAAAGCAACCCCCTTTGCAACAGGCTATGCTGAAGATGTGCTTGAGGCTGAGGATCCCCAGCTCTCTCTACGCACTGACAGTTTTCAGCATCTCGTGGAGTTGGTTTCAATAGCGGCAAAGAATGTACCCAAAATCAAAGACTGGGAGAAAACCTTGGCACAGTGGCTGAAGAAAATTCATCTCTATATTTCCATTCACTGTTTCCTATAAAACTTGTCATATGATGCAAGACTGAAACAGCTCCTACTTGTTTATAAAAGTGATCATCAGAATATTACATTTTCATGCATCTTTAGCTATTAATTATTGTGACAGCTGCTAATTATGACATCTAAATATTAGAATTAAAGAAGCACCAACAGGTTACAAAGATTTGTGTCTCCTTGCTTAAAAATCAAGAGTTTCCCAGCCCTCTCCAGTACACAAAGAGTATTTATTCCAGATAGCTTCACGTCAAGGGATGGTGCACACATAGATATTCACTATGGATCGTTAAGAGGACATAGCCCATACTCAATCCCATCTCCTGTTTACAGATTGTTCAAACATGAGTCACTTATCTACTACCCAACAAACTGAGTATGTAGCTAAACAGAAAGATGTGTTATCCAGGGGACACAGATCTTTCTTTAAGCTCAATTATACATTCCTTTCTCATGGCAATTAGCACCTGCCTACAAAGTTACCAGAGAAAACTGTGGCACTAGGGATGGCATAGATACCCTTCTCTAAGCAGGAAACCTAAGAAAAATATTAAACTCAAATTCTGTTGTGACATCATTTGTTAAAATAAAGCTAAAAAGTTTGATTCTCTTCTAACAAAACCACAAAATGCAAGATACCCCACGATACATGGGAAATACCCTGTTTGAAACAAGGTCTAAAGAGTTGCAAACAAGGCAAAAATCAGAAATTCCATTGGCCTTTTTTTGCTTCCGCTGCCCCATCCAGCAACCTGCTTGTTTTTCTTCAGATAAACAAAAGAAGCAATTGCCCCCAGTACACTTCATTTTTGTAGCCACTGTCTTTGTTTGTCTTCAATGCCCATTAAAATCCCATTCTTGAATCTCATGCAGCTGTTTTTTAAAGTGAGATCTTTTCTGATGGGAAAAAAAGAGGGGAGCCCTGTGCCCCAGGGAGCCAGGATTGCTGGTTACAAAGACATTTAAATGTTCTTACCCTCTTTTCAACCCTTTTGTCTTTGAGCATTTGACCGTATTGACAAACACTATGGTATCTCAGTGACTAAAGTGCACTTCATAAAAGAGGTCATGATCCAGCATCTAGCCATTTCCTTACAATTCATTCCTTGACTTTATAGGGAAAACTCAAAAATAACTGATGCAAAGAGATTCCTAAGTAGCATTCTTGAAGTTATTGTTTTTAACTGTTTACAGCTGTTAAGCTGGTGGTCACATGGAGGGGTGATGTGTCTTAGGGATTTATGTCTATTGTTGTGAAAGCAAGCAGGTTAGCAATACGAAAAACACTTTCCTCTTTCACTTGAGAATTTATTTCCTGTCAGCTTCTCAATGTGAAAAAAATTGTTAGCTGGCAGACAGGCCTTTGTGTTTCTTTTTAAATGTTTTTCACACTTTGTCTTTTAGAGTCCTAGGGCCATACAACATGGAAACCATGGGAATCCTTGAATGGATAAAAGGGTTTGTGAATTACTGAAAGGAGAAACTGAGGCAGGGGGCTGCTCACAGAACCAACCCAGGCCAAATAGAGGTGCTTGAGAGGTGACTGGTCCATAGACATTGATTCACTCCACATGCAGATGTGCTGATTCAGGAATAAGAATGCATTATTACCAATTAGCTGTTTGAAATAAGACATTCATTATCAAAGAAGAGAATCCTCACAAGGACTGAAACAGGAAGGGCTACTCCAGAATAACTTCCTGTGTAGACAAGACCATACTACTTCCTTGAGAAGATGGGAGTAGAAATCTGATCGTTCACCTCTAAGCACTTTATTCCTCAACCACTTGAGCTAGAACTTCTACAGCTAGTAGTGGTAGTAGGTCTCTTTCTTGGCCTGCCACCAGAGCAGTCTGGGCACTGTGTATATCCAGCTCTCTTGGATTTGGCCTCCTTGTAAATGTATAATAATTACGTTTTCTTAACTATCTAAAATTGAGAGTTGCATCCAAGTTTGACCAGAGTTTGCACATCCAGAGCAGAAAATCTATTCTGTAGTTTAACAGGCTGTTGCTAACAAAATATCAAATTTAGTTTCACAAACATTTTAAAAGGCTTGTTGGTTTGCTCTCATAGTTACATACTGCATACGCTATGCAACTTGAATTAGCTGTTATACTCATTAGGCCCTTATTAACATAATATCTGACCTTTAAACCTTTGTCCTTTGAAAGCATTCATCGCTGGCCTCACAGTGTCACCAACCAATGCCAGGGTCATTAGGATTTGGTTGGTGTTCCACTATAAAAATCCTGTTTTCTGTGAGTTTATAACACAGCTGTAAAGCATCTTGTCACACGAGGTCTCAACAAGCACAGAGAATGTGACTTCATTAAAATCTGCTTTCGGTTGTTGGGGTTTTTTGTACTAGTCAAAGATGACAGGTTTGCATATTCAGACACTAAGTGAAAATTAAACCAAAATACATTAACTTCATAATTTAAAATTATCTTTGGTAAACTACAAGGACAATTAAAGATAAATACTATCCCCAGTTCCTAATGTTTTATAAGCAATATGTCATCTACAAGACAAAGTAGAATAGAGAACTTGCTTTGTTGCCTAAATCATACATGCTCTGACCCAGAGATAAATTCCTATTTGTGCAGAATATCTCACACATCCTTATACTGTGTTCTTTTTCAGTCTGGTGAAGTTCCCTCTCTCTCCATCCTTCAATGTTCACCAGTCTTGAGAAAGATACTGAAACTGATGCAAAAGGATTTGTCCCAAAATTAGGTTTGTCCCACATTGTACTTACCGCATCTGTTATCCACACGCATTTGTCCCATGCTACAGGACTCCTGTGGATCTGAGAGCCCAGGAGACATTCTGGACATTTCATGGTCCATGCCAGAGACACAAACATGGAATTGCTCCCTGCTGATTGCCTTCCTCAAGATTCTAATTGTTTTGCGGAGTTGCTTCTCGGTCCTTTTTCGAGCACAACTCAAATCACATGTGTCTAAAGGGTAACAGGGGTGAAAATTAAGGGCAGAGAACTTCAGTATAAATGACACCGTGTAATAATACTTGGGTTAAAATACAGATCAACGCAAACTGAGAATGCAAACTGTGTGAAGCAGGCATGAAATCTTTCACCAGCAGGCCAGGAAAAAAAATGAAATGGACAATTTTTAATGACTGTAGTTTTCTGATCCTGGGAAGCAAGCATATATATTATATTTTCCAAATCAATAAAATGAAGCTTCAAAAACAGGAGATACTTTTTCATTATTATTTTTTGCATAAAGATGAAAATGAAAGAAAGAAATTAAGGATCAAACTGCAAGAAGCTTTCCATTGCATCTTGGATTGTTTTCCAACCAACCTGTCATCTCCTTTTGGTTTGTTTCAAGCTTCAAGTCCACTGTGATAAACATTTCTTTAGCTGTTGTAGGTTTGCCGAAGGCTCCAAAATCTTTCTTGCCAGAGCTGCACTTTAGGTTTACATAGCAGAAGCTCTCCATTACTGAGTTATGATTATCTGTATGAACAAAAGTAAAGAAAGCAAAAACTTGGCTAAAGATGTTATTGGACATTCACTACAGCTCAGTAAATATTTTGTTATGAAGACTGCTAATGGACTAAATGATTAATTCCAGATGCTAATAAACTACAAGCAACTGGACTGAATCCTTAGCTAAGGGACTTCGCTGTAGATTGAGTGACTTCAGTGGACCAATAGAAATTTATATCAGCCAAACATTTGGCTTCACTGTATGTAAGGTACTGTCTACACTGAAATTATAACCTTGCTAAAGCTGCCAGGCATGACTGCTGCTAGCAGGGCCCTAATGTGTCTTCTTTGGCCTGTGTAAATATATTAGAACCATGCTATTCCCTGTGCAGAATGTGTTAAACTTTAGTTCAGTTTTCAAGGGGAAATCCCTAGCCTGCTCTAGTCTGAGAATGTGTGAAAACCATGATAGCTCACCACAGTGTTTCCACACAACTGGACCTGGTCCCAGTATGCACAGGACTTATGGAAATTATTGTTTAAGGTTTCCCTAAGGAAACAAATTAAATTTAAGAAAACATCCTGAGCACGTTTTGATTCTGGGATAAATATGTGCTCTTGCTAAGTGTCTCGTACCAATGATCACACCTATTCTTTCAAAGCCAAACAAACTGACATGTTGATTTATTTGGTTCTTCATGTTCAATAAAGTAAAAGATTGGCCATGATGTGTCCACATGCCAAGTCCTCATTCTGCAAGGACATCTTCTGTGATTTATAAAGAACTAGGAGATTTACTCGGCATTGCTTGGATCCTTACTCAATTAAATTTGGGGGTGGGGGATGGGGTTGAGAAAATAAAATGAAAATGTCCATGCTTCATTTAAATCATTGCTCTGGGATGGGGAAGAAGGGTTCATATGCAGGCTGTCCTGGGGAGAAGACCAGCCCAGATCTCCTTCACAGCAGCAGCTTGGGGCCAGAGTAAAAGAGTCTTCATGGCTGCAGCAGCTCCAGTGGGCACAGCCAGCAGAGGGGTGCATGTCTCTAAAAGAGGGCACAGCCAGAGGAGGGGTGCATGTTCCCCAGCTAGGGCAGATTCAGGTTCATCTGTCTTCTGCACCACCCCTGCCAGAGCGAAGAATGCTGCAACTGTGCACTTTCCCTCTGCTCTCTGACAAAGGGGAACAGCCAGCAACATTCCTGTACAAATGGGGGGGCGGGTTTCACTCCACTCCTCCCCCCCACACACACACACCACCTCCCCCAAAGGATGGCTGAGAGGTTCAGGGCTGGGACAATTCCAGCCCCTTTCACCTGCCTGCTGATTCTATCTCTTTTCTGTTTGGCTTTATCAGAAGCCATCCCATTCTAGGCACATCCCTTTTTTCTGACACAACCAGACCCTGACCTTGCTTTAAGTTATGACAAGAGGAAGCTGTATATCGCATTGGTGGTCATGGCTCTTACTGTGGAGGAGCTCTAGAACACACAGACAGACAAACTCTCTCAAATATACAGTAGACATTCAGGCTCATCTCAAACAGGGTCCTGTGAGCAGACTTCATTTCCAGCTGCTTTTACAGGTTTCCAGGCTCATCTTTCCAGCAGAAAGAAGCTGGAAACAAGTAGGAGCCAACCTTGTATCCATTAGGCCCTACTGTTAAATAAGTGGAGGAAAAGAGAACCAGGAGCCAAATTTGGAGACCCCAGTCATCAGCAGGAGAAAAGCCAGGAGCTTCTTCAAAATGGCACCAGTGAGACAGTATGATCGCAGGACGGAGGAGACAGAGAAGGCAGGAGATGTGTCTGTTAGAGAAGCAGGAGAGAAAGGGATCAAGGGGCAGAGTAGCATATGCACTGGGAGATAGGAATTGAACAAGGGATAAGGAGAGCAAATAAGGAGGGTTATCAAAAGGAGGCATTATGAGTAATTTTACTCCACACACACAACACATTAAAGATGATTTTAAAAAAATACAGAAATACTTCACTAGTATGGCTTCTCCATACAATTGCTGCAAGTATTGCCAAGAAGCTGGGTCATCCAAAAAGATGATGACTGGGAAGTGATACGTTTCATAGGATCACAAAGGTGAGGAGAGATAGTCTGCAAAGTTCTTCTGACTATTAAGAGGTAGCCCATGCCATGAAAACGTTTCGGAACCCCTGAACATTCAGAATCCCTGAACTTAAACCTGCTTACATTCATCTATATAACCTCACCTGGTATTATCCATTGCAGATCTTCTTGAAGCATCTCAGTCTTTTTCAAACTACATTTTCCTTCATTAAACTTAACGATTACACTTGCCCTGAGGGTTGAGGTATCTTCAGAGAGAAACAAGGATGTGTTACTTTCAAAAGGGGAAAGGACTAGAAATACTAAGGGGAGGTTAAGCAGGTCACTAACATGACATTATAACCTGTACAATTTTCCATCACTAAAATGCTGCACATGTTTTGTGCAGAGCTGGCATCATTGGAAGGTCCTAGGAGACATCAGTTTTATTTTGCTGGTAAGTTAGTTCAGAACAACAACTGGAATAACAAACTGTGATATATTTTATTTAACACCCAAGGAACAATAATGATCATAGGGCATGAGCTTCACTGAACACAAAGGAGATCAGTCAATTAACATTAGCTGAGGAGCTGTCTCCCTACATTCATCTATCTAGAATAGCCTATATCATCCACTTAGCCCCCAAATGCTTTATAAGTGTTACTACCCAACTAAACAAGCTGTATATATTACAGATAACCATAATATTTCAGTCTGGGTGCTTGAAGAGAGGCACCTAAATCCTGAGCCCTGCACTTCAAATTACCTAATGATCCTTTTCTGTATTCACATTTTCAGGGCTCAGAAATGCAGAGATGCTGGTGAAGCAGCACACAGACTTTGAGGGGGGTCACAGTACATACATAGTACACGCTTTGGTAGAGAACAGGGAGAAAAAATGAAGGTTATAAACTGAGGGAGAGGAAACCACAAAACGTGAACAATATACCCCTTCGTTAGTCTGCCCTACTAAAAGAGGTGAGACAAGTCATGCAGCATGTAAATCGAGTAATTACCCAGGTAAGTAGATTCACTCATATTCTGCTGTTTCTTCTGAGTCTGA